AATGAACTTGAGAACAAGTGAACGTCTACAGTTCAATGGCAGGGAACACAAAAAATCAATGGACCATCGGCTCGGTGTTGCATCGCGGAACAGCATCAGATCTGTCAGGGAAAACTGAGCTTGGTAATGCTCAGGCTTGTGCATAACTTTTAATCGACAATGAAGTAAAAAGATGCTAACTATACTTTCTCGGGGAGCGATAGTTTTATAAAAGACGTTTCATTCTGGTTGACAGACTGTGCGACAGGGTGCAGATCAAAGGCGAGGAGAAGCCTGCCTACAAAAAAAAAAGAAAAAATCTACAGAAATACCAAGCCTGACGGGTCGTCAGCTCGCATCTGTCAAAAAGAAGCAAACATGCCAGATACCTGGACGCTTTGGGTGGTGATGAGTTTTCGTGTTCAGTTACACCGGTGGTCTAACATGGTGCCAAAGGTTTCAAAAACACGGCAATACATTAATTGGACATTAAATAATAATGACACAGCGGGTTCTGGTGCCTTGGCTGGCAGCTACCGAGTTCCCGCCCGCCACCGCTGTCGTGCCCAGACTTGTCCATAATCCGTTACAAGTAACAAAATTATTTGTAATCCCTTACATTTATCAGTAATTTAGTACCGGGTTAATTACATCTTTTCTAAAGTAACTCTAAAGTAATTCCTTTACATTTTTTACGTAGCGGATTCGTTGTAATCCGTTACAATATTTTTCTCAATCAACCCCTCACCCCCGTTTTAAAGAAACGGTTGTTTTTATTCTGGTAAAGTTGAGCGCAGTGAATCTGTCACGCTTCAGTTCCCCAAAGCCTTTTCTTGCATCACCAAGTGGAATCTATTTTTTGTAGACCCTAATAGCAATGTCAAAAAATCCAAATGGACACTTTAAAAAAAAAAGGGGGGGGGGGCAAGTTATATTTGTTTTTTTTTTTAGTCCCTTTGTTCTTTCTTTGCGATCGAAGACAGGGGGAGGAGGGCACCAAGTGATTGTGTGCCTCTTCGAGAAGCTCGAGGTGGTAAGTGCACAGGCAAGAATTAACAATGTCCTTCTCTGATATAGTCACTACGACCATTTTCATAATGTCACAACACGAGACAACGCTCCGTGTACCCTAAAATCCACTAAAAGAGAAGGGAAAATATTTGAAGGTGCTGTGTTATCACCACAAACATGCTCGTTCGTTGCTGTACATTTATCTTCTCTTAGAAAACAGGATGTATATTTTTCTCCTTCTTTCACCTCATTTGACCCTGTTTTAATCATGCTGAATAAGCCTGAGACTGGAGCAGAAATAAACACACAAGTCGAAGGAACAAAAAAGGACAGGAAAACGACTCAAACTAAGCTACCATGTTTATTTAGTCCGCCCCCTTATATAGCCCACAATCGGCCTCCACAATGCTGGCTGATTGTGGGCTATATAAGGAGGCGGACTAAATAAACCTGGTAGTTGAGTTTGAGGTGTCGTCCTGTCCTTTTCTGTTCCTTCGACTTGTGTGTTTATTTCTGCTCCAGTCTCAGGTTTACTCAACATGGTTAACATTCACCAGATCGCCTGCACCCTTACTACCATATCTCTGTTTTAAAAGCTACTTACTTTGTTGTAGTCGAACTTCTAGGGTTGGCCCACTTTATTTGTGAATTCCAGCCAGGTGATCCTCATCTCAGTCACCCTTTTATGTGAGTCAGCTTTTCGCGAGCACTTCGAAAGAGGAAATAATCTTCCTTTTTTCTTGCGGTTTTTACCCCAGTAGGACGCATCTTATTTGAAGCAGATATTTTTACAAATAAAACATAATGGTGGCTGACGTAGAGTTGATATTCTGGGCTTGAGGAGAAAGTGAAACTTGCGAGTGGGGCCATAGTGCGGCCTGCTTAGTACTTTACCCCTCGCTGCCCGTGGCATCAGCGGACGTCTATCTGTAGAACACCAGAAAAAACTGCAGTCGATCCGCGCTCCGTGCGTTTTTAAACGGCACCAAGAAAGTTACACGCCGCAAAAGTGCGTCTAAATTTCCTTGTTTTAACCGACGTTCTAATTTTGTTATAAGCGTCCTGGTGTCTCGTTTTTTTTTTTTTTTTACACCGGAGCTGTTAAGGGCTAGTTATCTTAGGGATCGTGTCCGGTACCAAACAAATGTCGACACCCGTGGTCGACAAAACACTCTGGTTGCCGCCGTCGCACATAGCTGGCGGTGGCTGTCCAGAGTGTTGTGTTTGCCGGTTGTCTGCTTGCCGCCGTCGCCCATAGATCGCGGGAACCTTTCCAGCCTCGGCAACCAGACAACTGGTTGCCGCCGTCGCTCATTGATGGCGGCAACATTTCTTCGGAGGAAGGAAAGCGGGAACGGAACGAGCGGCGATGTGCGCAGCAGCGCGAATGGTTCGGCAACCGCCGCGAGGCCCCTATCGCCTAAAGTTTCACTGCGTCGAGCGCTTCAGATTCCCATGTGAAAGAAGAGCAGATCGCTCGCCTGGAAAGCCACGGCCGAGAACAGAAGCTACAGCTCCGCATGCTCTTCTTTCTTCACCAGAGTGGAAAGGCTGAAAGTGTTTTTTTTATATTACTTATATTTATATATTGGAAACTTTTTTTATTCATTAACGTCTCAACCGAGGCTCCACCTGTTCATAACCAAAGGAAGAAAAATGTCGAGCCAAACCTTATTTATTTTTTAGTTATCACCTTACTGTTATGTTTTGCTATTTTCTGACACTATATGTCGGTATAGTAGGACGTACAGTCGGGGACCAAAGTCTCCAGGACGCGCGAGCTGCGACTGAAACGCATCGCTCTGCCATCTGCCGGCGGGTCGCCTGGTTTCGAGATCACACAAAAGCGCATGCGCGTCCTAGTGTATCTGCAAGCTTGTGTTCCCCGCTTTTTCAGCGTCACGGCGCCTAACTTGGAATCGGGCGCGTGGTACCGCCTCGGAGATAGCGCTTACTGACATGGCACCTATGAAGCAAGAAGTCACGTCTGATCAACTGAGCGATAAGCTCAGGTGGTTATAAAACAAGATGCGCTGGCACGGCAAAATTCGGCGCAATGCCGCAGGCGGTATCTCCACGGTTTCGGTATGTGCAGCAGACGCTCGTCAGCCGCAAGAGCTATCTCCGAGGCGGTACCACGCGCCCTATTCTGAGTTAGGTGCCGCGCCGCAGAAAAGCGGAAAAACACAAAAGCTTGCAGGCACAGTAGGACGCGCATGCGCTTTTGTGTGATCTCGAAACCAGGCGACTCGCCGGCAGATGGCAGAGCAATGCGGTTCAGTCGCAGCTCGCGTGTCCTGGGGACTTTTGTCCCCGACTGTACATAAATGAATTCTTATTCTAGTTTTGGCTAGATGTATGACGAATTCTAGAGCTTCGAAATTTCAACAATGAAGAATTTTATTAGATCGGTCCGATGACTCTGATAACGATATCCGATACTCCGCGCCACATTTGCGCATGCATCATATAGTTATCGGGAGTATCAAAGGTATCAGAACGACCTACTAAAACTCTCGAATATCAGGCAACCGCTGCAACGACGAAGCTTTGCCCATCTTCGAGGTAAATAGTACTTCCCTTGCTTCGCTGAAACAGCTCAATGCAGAACATAAAACATTCGTGAGGCACAATATGACACTCCCATCCAATGCCTCAGTTCAAAGGCTGTTCAGTGTTGCAGTCGGCATCCTCAGCAAGGAACGACGCAAAAAGTCTGACGAGACTTTCGAAAGCCAGCTGTTGCTCAAAATGCCCAAGGCAAATAAATGGAACAGGTGGCAAGAATAAGAACTTGAATAACCTTCTTCCCTTTGTTTGCTTACTGAGGACAATAATGTTGAAAGTAACGCCACGAAAGCAACGGATTATTTTTTGGGGTAAAGGCCACTTACTTTTATGAGAGGGTAATTGTCATTGCAATTAATTACAATTTAGCCTTGAGTAATTGTAAATGTAATTCCCTACTATTTTTGAGTAACGTGTACAAGTCTGGTCGTGCCCACGGTTCCTCGAACGCGTGTTTGTCCCGAGTGTTTACTGTCTAATCCTGCCCATGCATTGAAGGTCTCGAAGTGGCAACAAATGACGTCACAGGAGCCAGCATGTCAGGCTGTCAGATGTCACAATCCTGGCAGTTGGCCATTAAAGTTCCGGCAAAATATACGAGAGAACGCGAGTATTATTGTAGCCGCGGCCTCTCAACCCTTAGCATCTGAAGATTCCGGAGACTCTCAAACTGGACGAGTGACGTGAAGCAAAACAGGCGCCGTCAGTAACCACCTCCACTGAAGTGCTACGGCCAGGATCATGAGGCTATCAGCCGGAAATCGTGGAACCCCGTTCCAGGACTAGTCGGAGACCAGGGGCGGATTTAGAGGGAGGGTCCGGATGTCCTGACCCCCCTCTTGATTTCTACATGTGTAAAATTTAGGGCGTGAAACGAAGGAGAGGGGTTTCCTAAACATATGGCACGCTGACCAACACCTGACCCCCCCCCCCCCCCCCCCCTCAGTAAATTCCTGCATCCGCCCATGTCGGAGACCCGTTCCAGGCATCGTGTGAGTACCCTATGTAGTGGACATGGCGCTCTTGGCGCCATGTCCCCTTCATGGCCTTTGTGGCATGGCGCTCTAGGCCACCAAGTGGCCAAACTGGACACGCTGGTTCGGACGTTGGGCAACCTCCCCAGCGCTAAGCATCGGAACCTCCAGGGTGCCGATAAGCTTCAATAAGAAACTTGAACTCTATTTGTGCGATAAGTCCCGCCCGTCTGACATTTTACAATTCGCATTGTTCGGAACTCTATGTGATGTTCACGAGCCTAATTTCGACCCTGTTGTCAATACATTCAGATGGACCGCAACTAGAGTTTGGAATTCTCCCTCCGGTCACTACCAAGGGCATTCCCTTTTAAACGACTTTTTTAAAACACGCTTATTGATTTACAGGTATATTTTGTATGATGTTGAGGTCCATGGAAAACACCTATTTTAAACAAGCCTCATTGATCAAATGGATAATCAACGTTTTTAATTTGGCGAAACTCGTATTTCTCGGATTTCTTCAAACTTTCTAATTGAAAGATCACGTGGGATGCTGGAATCGCCGCAAAATAGCTCGAATTGGGGGCTCCAGCTGCAGAATCCTTTCTTGAAGTTCCTGTAACGAAGAAGATTATAGTTGATTTTCTATAATCTCCCATTCTATGCTGATTATTGACAGAAAATGTATTTTAGCGTTTCTTTCAATTAAAAGCTAATATGTTTTTGTCTCGTCTTCCTTTTTGTTTGTTTATATTTAAAAGGCTTGGGGTATCTACGTTATGTACCGACTTTTACTTGAATTCCTATCAGGTTATTTTTTTTTTAATTTCTAGATTATATAATATTTCTAAGTTTGTACGGAGGTAAAAAATGATTATGCATAGCTTTTTTTTAAGTTCCCTACAAACTTTCTATTGTTTCTGGTAACACTGGTGACCAACCATTCAAGGTGTTCGTTATAAATTTTAATTCCAAAGTGTTCTCAGATAGAAAAACTAAAAGTAACAAACTCCTACTGTTCCTGGAATGCTGAAATGATGTACAAACGAGTGTGTGTAAACTGCACAATATATGTTCATATATGTTTATCTAGTACAATTGGATTAATCCTTCAAAAGACGATACTGACCTAGGTGTATGTTCCTCTGTGAAATAAAAATTATAAATTCCATTTTGCAATGAATTTGAGAAACGAATAGACACCCACAAGTAACAAGCATCAATTTTTCTGGTTATTGTAGTATTGAATGTATGTTATAGACAAAAATGCGTTCGTTTGTGAGAATATTTGTTTACAAACGATTCACAATAAGCCGCATTGCAAGAAAAACGGCACATTTTGACAGAAGATAATGAACTTTGAATATCATGAAAACCGGAGATCAGTGTAATTGAAATTATTTTATTTCAGCTCCTGCAGTTTAGACCATGTATACATAAAATATCAGGTAAATATAATTGGTTTTATATTTCTTCCTTTCCGTATCTTTCTTCAGATAGTCAACTCTGTTTTTAAGTGCAATAAAATGCCATGGTCACGATATTGTTTAAACGAGATGACCGTGTTGGGGATGGTGTCTAGATTAACCTAGCAATAAAAATATAAACGCGCAAGTGTCGTACATACCTTAATTTTCGGTAGAAAGAACAAGGCATGCGAGTCATGCTCTTCATGATACTTGATGTTTTTTCTTTTGTCCTGGTGGACGAAAAGAAAGGCTTTATCTCCAAACACATACATATTACCTAGTGGTTACAAATAGTCTTGGTAGACTAACGTTCTTCTGAGCTTGAGCATAAATACAATTCACGGTCTTTACAAGTTGCATATTAGTTCATTAAACAGGCAGTCAAGGTTTTACCAGAAGCTTTAGTTTGTTTAAGAGCTCGTTTTCTGCAAAACAGAGGCTGCCCTCTGGGGAATATTCAGTAGATAGTGTTAACAAAATGGTATGGCGTTTGTGTTGCATTTGTTCTGAACTTCTGGGTAAGCTCTAGTGGCCTTACTTTAATATATATCAGTTTTTTTTTTCTTGTTTTGCGCTACAAAATACAAGCTTGGTAATTGGGCTCGGAGTAGGATGATATGAATTATTACACACTGAAAGAAATTGTTTTCGTGAAACTTCGTCTGGGCATAAAATACCCGTTTCAGACCCACAGAGGTGTGAATCAAAATTACCATGGGAAATTCTAGTTCCACTTAAAATTACACACCAGGGCATTTTATTCCGCCGGTTCTTTTGCATCATAGTTAAAACATTCACTCTGTTCAAGTTTGAATTTGTAGTCCAGTGGAGCGTGCCCGGTACATAGTTTTTTCCAGAACTATTACCTCCTTGTTGCAGCCGTATGTGCGATACAAACACGGAATGTATTTCTCTTCGCATATGTCTCCATGTAGAGTCACCTGAAAGGTACAAATCAATTGATCGTCTACCGAAACATGGAGAACGGCAAGCAATTAGTGCTTACTTCGTTAACTTTTATCCAATTACCTGTAATCTAGTAAATTATAATTTTTTTTAATTGACCAGCATTGGCTCTGATGTCATGCCGCTGAGGCGGAGCTGTTGTAAATATTACTCGTGCGTAGACGTTTCACTTCACGCTAACCGTGTATAGCACGAGCGTAGTGCCCACAGCTAGTATAGGCAAACGCGGGCTTGCTTGTGAACAGCGCGCTGGATTATTAGTTGCATAATTCGGTGTGCTTACATTATCTAACCGCAGCAAGCAACTTTCTTGCTCGACAATACAGATATTACCAAGAACGTTTGTTTGCTCCAACTAAAGTTTTTTTTTATTCAATACTTTTTATGGGACAACTTTTCGGTTATGAATACAGTTCATTGTGCAGTTCTGCATCCCTTCGTTTAGAATATCCAAGCATAAGGTTGGAAGTTGATAGGGCTTGCATCGGAGCTTGAGCAACCACAAAAATTATTTGAGTGTCACCAGAACTTGCGAACTTGCTATAATCCAAACTGCAAACCTGCTAATGTGTATTCGATGAGTAAGAGTTCCCATAAGAGCAAAGGAAGTCTGGCACGAGTCGGAAAAATAAAGCAGTTTGCTGTCCGAATGATATTGCAAGAATAAGCTTTGATTCTTGGTTTCACCTCCCTATGCGTACCATGTGTGGCGGCGCACTTTAGTTCCACGCTTTGGTCATTGAAGAGCAGGACCGATGGTGCGGTGATGCTTTGTCACAAGAAAACCAAACTTGGAAACGCCTCCGAATCGAACGTTTCTTTTGGAAGCTTGTAAAATGTGGCTTGTGCCTTATATTTTTCAAAAGTGTGTCGATTTAGTGACTTTCGGTAATCCCCTGAAGGTTTCTAATTTATGTAATAAAAATGAGAAATTTGAATACTTTGAAGTAATTAAGAGCGCAAGTTTAAGCACATCAACAAATACCAAACAATATTGTATTCTTAAATAAGCAGCTTGGCAGAAACTTATAGCGTATCAACGCTTTTTTCCTGAGAATTCGTACTTTTTCTAGGAGCGATTTGCCCAGCCCGGCCCCCGCGAAACTTCTTGCATATTACGGCTTTACTACATCTTAAATTTTAGCTGGTATCATTAGAAATGTTTCCAAGTCTTGAAAAATTACGCGAGTTTTACTGACCTCTTCTTTTTTCAGTTTTTCGTTGCAGAAATTGCACTTCCCAAACTGGCAGTTTTTCTGCAGATATGGAAACGAAACAAATGTCAGAAGTACACAGGAAAATATGGTTTCAAGATATATCTATCTCCCAAAACTTCCTATGCAATGGTCAGTAACACAAATTATTACAACAAAAAAAAAAGGATGGTAAAGTGCCGTTTGATCTGCACAACTTTGCAAAGGTTCGGGTACTAGATGTAGACACTGAAAGTTTTCTTTAAGGGTAAAACAACATTTCAAATTCTAGCATTAAATATTTGATGTTACTCACGCCAAAATATGTTGATAAAATAAAATAAATTACATCACATGTATAATCAAGGATCTGATATGAAAAAAGAAAATCTATATACGTACCTACTCCACCCCTGCATACTGTTTAAGTTATGCAGTCTCAAACAATAAAAGTGTCACGTTAATAAATCCCATGTGATGCAAGTCAGAAATTTACCACCATTATTACTTTGGACGATGAAGGGAAAAGTGCCTATACTCTGACCTTAGCCCTCCAGCTGTGCTATTTCACACGTCAAAGCAAGAACCACTAGACCTCACCACTTTAGATAGTGCCACTTTAGCTCGAACACGTCGTATATTGATTCAGTTATTCTAGGCAGTATCCATTACTGGAATGCTCTTGACGCATTTCTTGAGCGACAATGCTCTCGTTGAGGCATATTCGGAAAAGCTTGTCGACTAAACCAACAGGCCCTTCTCGGCACTCTGATTTGCACGTTATCACGGGCGCCACATCGCGTTGTTCACGGGGAGGTAGAAAAGGGGGGGGGGGGGGGGGGGTCCAAAGGATTACGTAAAGGCGCCTCAGTGATTCGCGCGCCAGCCTTTAGTCACGCGTAATGTGGCAGCCGGGTAAAGGCTAGCGAGTGAATCCCTGGGGTGCGCTTACCGAAGCCTCGGGAACCCCTCCTCGCTCCCCTCTCTCCCTCCTTCTCCCCCCCCCCCCCCCTTCCGCCTAAACCAGGCGATATGGGGTCCGTTAATACGCGGCGATCAAGCGCCGAAATTGGCCTGTTAACGTACTCCCCAATTTTTTGTTTCAACACGCATCCTGGAGCAGATTGTGATTTCTTATACGATTATCTAGTCATGAGCAACATCCGGCTGTGGTGTTCCTTCGTGCGGGGATTCCTCTGGTCTCCCTTCCCCGATGGCTGTGATAACGGCCGCGGGTCGGAACGCTCGGCCTTCTTCGCCGTGAGCTCCGACCTGTCCGTGAGGCGGAGGGCCGCCTGGCTTGGGGGGCTCTCCTCTCACTCTCTCCCGGGGGGACCTCTTTCCGTCCCCCCGCTCGGATGCGAATCACTGCCGACAGGCGAGGAGGTTTCGCCTCTTGTTTTCCCGCTTTCGGGAAAGGGACTCGTCCGGGTGACCGCGAAAGAGATAGGACGTGTGTCGGCGACTTCTCCGATGCTTCCCCGGTCTTGGCTCTCCGGAACCCCGCGTCTGGCCAGGTAAGGACCTTTTCTTACCTTGCCGGCGCGGGGGGCATTTTGGATGGGGACATAGCAGTTCATTTAAAGAGTGTTCCAATAAATGCTCTTGGACTCTGTCCTTACTCTGGTACGTGTGTCTTCTCTTCCGCTATATTCAAGAGAGTGAGACAAGGTAGACGATCATTGGCACCGACGGAGGTAATTAATCGAACCGACCCGCGGTAATGTAGCCCTAAACGTCGTCTATATTACTGCGGAGATGTGGGGACCGCGCGCTACTAGGTTTGACGTCTCCTTTGAGATATCGCCGCTGTTGAGACAACCCTTTGGTTACTCTATCGGTACCTGTGTTAGTAGCAAAATCCCACATAAAATGGCGCCCAACGTGGGGCCACGACTTCCTTTATCGTGGTCGTGGCTCCTGGCCTCCGTCCCTTTTGTCCGGCCTTTGCCAGCAATTCCTTGCCTTTGATCGCCCCGTACTACGAGCGTCCTGATCTCGCCACTTATGGTTGAGCGATTAATGCCGAGTCGGCAACCCGCAGTGCCACTCCTTTGAGCGAGCGCAGTGTGATTCGTACGCGTGTTCCTGTTTTGAATTGGCGTGCGTCAAGCAACATTCGTTGTTGCGGGAGGCCCTTTGTTCTCCATGCTTGAGGCGAACCCTTCACCTCTGTGTATTTGGGTTCCTTGCGCGCCACCAACAACTTGTCCTGAAGGGAAAATGTATATAGAAGTTTTGATGATGTTTTTGAGAACCATTCGGACTTTCATGTCCGGCGGCGAGTGAGGCTTGGCAGAAAAGAGTAGCGAAGGATCAGCAGTGCAGTCTGGGAATGTAAATATTCGCGTTTTCTTTGACTCTGAGTAGTCGCGGACACTCAGTTAGAGTCGGACGGTGCGCCTGCCAATAACGTCGATAAGTAGCTGGTACTGCTACTGACGGGCTCCGGGAGCCGGGCCGCGTAACCGTCGGCGTCGAGAAGCAGTTTGCACACTGTTGACGCGCGCGCTGTATTCACTGCTGGTATTGCAGTGGGCGCGGAGGGTTTTTTCTTCGCGAAAGTTTTGTTTCTGCTTGATGCCAACGTACTCCTGCAGCCTGTTGTTGTTTTCCAAGAACGACACTAGTTTTGCGTTCATGGTGGTGGTGCTACGCGGTCTGAGGCGCACTGTGACAGTATCTGGGTGTACGAGTGACTCTAAGACTTTCGGAGGTTATGTTGCTCGGAAACCCAGGCGCCGTGTGGCCAGAGCGCCCTTTGGCGATATCTGTCAGACTCGCGTGATCCAGGTGGAAGAGCGACTCTAAGACTCTTAGCAGTTACGTTGCTCTGAAACCTGGCCTTGCCTCAAAAGAAGGGCCCACACCGTTGTGAGTCCTTGATCAAGCCGTATCGAGTGCAAGACATGTTTTTCTAGCATCGGTAAGCTGGCTAGCTGAAATATTTGGCGAAGCTGGCAGGTTTGAACGTGTGAGCTGCGGCCCCTTTTGTCTTCCTCCGTGGGGAGCAAGATGGCGGCTATTTTGCGCGGGAACTTGCATCTTCCCCGCTCGCAGACGCGCATGCATGGCGGTTTGTTTCTATCCGCCCCTTCGAAGTCCCCGTATCCGTTTACCTCGACTTCCGAAGACGGGCCAGCTGCAGACTGTTATCTGTTTTTGGCCACTTATAGTCTACGGACTCTTCCGGCAACTATAAAACCGGGTAGTGTGGGCAGCCTATTTTAGCTGCCTGCGCAAAGGATTGAGAACTCGGCGTTTTTCCTAGGAGCTCTCTCCCCGGTGCCCACATTAAGCGAACTCAATTAGCTTGCTTGGTATGTGGACGCGTTTCGAACGGAGGGACTCCCTTTTATATTGCTTCTTCCGGTGTCGAATCGGGTCACTCTGGCATGTTCCTGTCACCGTTGACAAACTGGCCACCTTTTTTGTGGTTTTTGTTTGTCGTTTGCCCCTGCCCGTTTTGCCGCCTTTGCGGCCTGAGGCAGGCGAGCGTCGGTTGCGCGCGTCCCCTCGTTTGGAGGCGGCGGCGCCCTTTCTTCCCTTTCGGGAGGTCTACGGCCGGCTCTAGGCGTGTTGGCTGCTGGCGCAAAACGACTTCGCAGGTCTGCTCCGAGGTCGTCCACCCCCCCTTCACCAGCCCACTGCGGCCGAGATGGCGCCGAACCCCCCGGGCAGCGTGTCTGGGACTTCCCCAGCTGGTCTCCGCTGGTGGGCGGCGGTCGTCGGTCTTTTTTGGTGCTGCCGCCTTCACGACCGCCTGACTGCCCCCCACTGCAGGCCAGCTCGTACCGCGACACCTGGGTCCAGCGGCGTCAGCGCGGTGCCTGTGATGCTCTGCCGTGCTGTGGCGGCGGCTGTCAAGTGCTTGGAACTGGAACTTTCTGGGTCTTCGGTCCTGCGGGCCAGCTGTTGACGGCGGACACTGTGGGGACGCGCGCTGGGCGTCGCGTGTATATGTTTGGGGGTGCACAGAGAGATATATTATTTTATGAGAGCAGGTGGGCCTCCTTTATTCTTTCTTGAGACCCACCTACCGTTTTAAGGAGGGGGGGATGCGGGGATTCCTCTGGTCTCCCTTCCCCGATGGCTGTGATAACGGCCGCGGGTCGGAACGCTCGGCCTTCTTCGCCGTGAGCTCCGACCTGTCCGTGAGGCGGAGGGCCGCCTGGCTTGGGGGGCTCTCCTCTCACTCTCTCCCGGGGGGACCTCTTTCCGTCCCCCCGCTCGGATGCGAATCACTGCCGACAGGCGAGGAGGTTTCGCCTCTTGTTTTCCCGCTTTCGGGAAAGGGACTCGTCCGGGTGACCGCGAAAGAGATAGGACGTGTGTCGGCGACTTCTCCGATGCTTCCCCGGTCTTGGCTCTCCGGAACCCCGCGTCTGGCCAGGTAAGGACCTTTTCTTACCTTGCCGGCGCGGGGGGCATTTTGGATGGGGACATAGCAGTTCATTTAAAGAGTGTTCCAATAAATGCTCTTGGACTCTGTCCTTACTCTGGTACGTGTGTCTTCTCTTCCGCTATATTCAAGAGAGTGAGACAAGGTAGACGATCATTGGCACCGACGGAGGTAATTAATCGAACCGACCCGCGGTAATGTAGCCCTAAACGTCGTCTATATTACTGCGGAGATGTGGGGACCGCGCGCTACTAGGTTTGACGTCTCCTTTGAGATATCGCCGCTGTTGAGACAACCCTTTGGTTACTCTATCGGTACCTGTGTTAGTAGCAATATCCCACATTCGTCAATTAATCTCCCGCACTTATGTTAGAGCGTCACTCGCCTTGTGGTCACTTAACTCCTCCTGTGTGATCCATTCCTCACAGTCTCGGCATTGGATTTCTTTTTTAGGACAAGCCTTCTCATGTTCCTGTAAAAAATTTAAAAAAAGCAAGAAGACCCCCATTTCGTCTGAGAGGACGGCGCAAATGTTGTGGGTTACATCGGCAACCTGTTTAGATATAAAACGCCCCGTTTGGAAAACTTATCTAAACGCTATTAACAGACAAAGTAACACCTTTCGGCAAACCACTGACCTGGTTCCTACGCAGGTGCCTTGGCTTTTTCTTAATCTTTACTTCAATTGATAACAAAATCACAGTTATAATTAATAAACCTTGTATGATTTCGCACAGGACAGAGCCAAAGCCAAGCATGGCGAACTCCAGAAGTGCAAGTAAAATGTTGCAGACATTTTACTCATTGGAAAGTGTCATCTGTTTTAGGAGTCCAAACGAAACCTCGTAAAGTCCTTCGAAAATGACTTTTCGGGGTTAACAAAGCCTTGTGGACCGCTCTTCAAATCACAATAATTTGTTCCTCGTTTGCTCTGGAGAGAAGCGTGATTTATCATATGTCGTATACAGAGAAAGCCGTTATTGCCCCCCCCCCCCTTACCCACACACACACACAAACTCGAAATGATTTAGGGCGTGCGTCGTCGATATCGTTACGAGACACCGTGACATTACAAAGTTAGGTGATTTTATGGTATCATGTGATATCAAAGTATTACGTGACGCCGAGCTGTATCGTGACATCTTGGTGGAACATGACTCCGTGATGTAAGATGACTACGCTAGCAGTCACGTGACATCATTTACCCGGATAGTTTCGTAGCTATAGGCGAGCTTCCTTCCCCAACAAGGCATTGGCGATGGCCCCTCTGCGTCAGGCGTGAGAGACACAAGTGCCAGGTGCATAAGGGTACATCAGGGTCTGATAAGGGGTCGCAGCAATCGCTGTTAGTTTTCTCTGGATTCACACAGAAGTGCTCTTTTTTTTTACCCACTGCGCTATCTACAGTTCAGAGAAACTGCGAGACCTCACAAACACTCTAAGCAGAAAGAACAATTTCCCATGATTTACAGCCTTTTGTAATATAGGGAGATGCGTAAGTGCACTTTTTAATCACCACTCTAAATAGCAGAAACGATACTTCATTGACTACATTTTTTGTAAAGAAAGAATCTACCAAAATTTACAAAACCATTCGTTTGATGTGCGTGGACAACGTCTCGTAGTTGAATTACAGAGCTTGGAAAGCGTTTCCGCACTGGTGTGTTCATCATTCTATTCCGCCCGCACGTTAAAAGTAGCCCCGAGGTGGCGACAATTGACAAGACAGAAGCCAAGGTGTCATGCTGTTAGATGTCGCGATCTTAGCAAAATAAACGAGCGTCCTAGAAAAAAAAAAGTATAAAGCACGAGATCACGAGTGTTGCTGTCGTCACTTGTCCCGATTCCGAGCTGCCGAATACTCCGCGGAGTGGCAAGTTTTTAAGAGCAATTTGCAGCAAACAGGCGTCTATACCACATTCACCACCGCTGCTGCCGTGACACTGCCAGAATTGTGAGCGGCAACAGAATGACCAGAGTGTCGAACCGATATTTTTATCGGTTCGGTTCGGGTTCGGGTTCACGGCTTTTGGTTCAGTTCCGGTTCAGTTCCGAGGCGCAAAAAATAACGGTTCAAACCGGTTCCAACCGGTTCGAACCGGTTTGAACCGCTAAATTGAGAATACATTTTCCGCGTTGTTCTGTCAATAGGCACTACTTAGGCCGTGAAACTAACTACTGTAAACGATCTGAGTTTTGCGAGGACCTATTTTTTTAGAATTTTACGAATCGCCTACAATTCGCGAAAAATGGGTCCCGCGAACAATTTTGCTAAAATGTAAACACATTGGTATTTATATTGAGATTCCACCGCGTCGAGAAAATTACAACCCGCGAATTATTCCAAAACTTCAGCTTTGACCTAAATCGCGAAATATTGAGCCCACGAAAAATAAGTCATTTACAGTATATAGTTTTCTCTTTTTTTATCGTTTGTTCAATCCAGTTTTATTTTCAGGTACCAAAATTATAAAATTATGTTATTTATTCCTACAGAACAAGAAAAGAAAATCTACATTAACATACAAAACGCCGTGTTTATACGACTCAACATCCTTTCGTTTACCAGAGTCACATGCATTGTACCTGAATCGAAATGTTTTCGCGAAGTGAAGTAGGTTGCCTAAAAAAACCGTGATTGGTACAACTTTGTATCGCAGTATTAGAAGTTGAATCGTTGTTTTGCCCTTAAACTAAGGAATTAATTACAGTGAAGAAAATCATGAAATGGGCACCTCGTTGCCATATATATCATGATATCTGTTTTACGGAATACGTTGCACAATATATATATATAATGACGAGACGACTGAGCTTAAGGCAATATAATTTTATAGATACACTAAGCGACAATCACAATGCTTGTTTTTCTAACCAGCATTGGTTTGCTCTCAGCACCATGATGCGGTTGACGAATCATGCAAAAAGGAGTGGCTGAAATTGTTCACTCTAATCTATGAGCACCTTCGTACTGAGATCGAATCTCACCTAAAGCAGTGCTTACCCATGTGAACATTTTCTTAAATTGGATAAACTGGCATAGCCGGTTGAGGTTTGTTCTTGACAAGATGCCGATCAATTTAATTTGCAAGTAAGCATCACCCTCGCTAATCGATGATTTTTGTTAAATAGAACAAAGTGGTATTTCATGCTCTACTCAATTTGGAAGCTACTTAATTGGACACTTTCTTATAGTTTGCGTGTGTAATCGTCATAGTTCCACCATTCGTCCCAGTGTATTTAGTTTTGGTTCGACCCACAGACACGTAAAAGGTCTGTTTAACAGATAAAAGACGCGATAATAAACTTCTATATATTTGAGAAGTTATATATGCGTGAGGAACACATAGTTATTTAAATTAGCTTAAAAAAAATTATTTAAAGCTTTCCCAAATCACCTATAACGTGTCTATAGAAGATTAAAGCGCCGAAAAAGATTTGCAGAACATCTTTCAGATAATTTGAAGGTGCGTTTACTTATATGTGTATCTTTGAGGTGAGGATCTTTTATTTATGCTGCCAAATCTTCAGACAGGAATTAAGTATATTTTTATTATCATCGATAAATTTGACTTTATGAAGTTCACGTAACCGCCTGAGACCGACACGGAAGGACGATACTCGAAAATACGCCAGCTGCATGTTGAGTCTTCGGAAACGTGCTTTTGTTAGCTGTTTTGCAGTGTAAAATACTGGGTTGCAGGGATGCCAAAAAGCACTGTGGTCACATGATATATCAGAAGGCAAATACGCGAAATGTGCAGAAATAAGGAGATGACACGTTATTTTTCTAAATAATCCCTTACACAATGCTTTACGGCAAAGAGAGATGCATAGAAATGCATAAAACGATATTCCTAATTAAACAAAAATTGCGCGAAGGGCAAACGAAGATTCTTAGAATCCTAATATAAATCACGTTTGGGCATTAGCTTGCCTCAGCTCGAAACGTTGCGAGATACTGCCTCGGGACGCTAATGTTATCTTAGGTTTTACGTTCACTTGTTTTGAGACCATACTTCACGACTCTGTTCTTTATCAGTCATGTGCTCCAACATTTCATAAGGCTGCCGTATATCATCGCGAGACTGCTATAAATACTACACAACTTTACACCTTGTACGTCTAGTGCTAGTGTGGCGAACGTCGCACTTCACCAGAAAGCTGAAGTATTTAACATGGTTTGCACGTGACGTAATCGCACTATATACTGGTTGTCATTGCGAGTTGTTGTTGCTGAAAAAATCAAATCCGGTGGGGCAAACTGCACGCTGCAAAAGGTTCGCACTCAGTGCAAGCTATGTATTTGAGAGGCACACATTTTTCTTGTTGGTGCATCGCCGTTAGGCACGACGCGAGCATCTGCCACGACGAAAACGTGCTTTCTGGCAAGAGTCTTTTCACAAATAAAAGTTGTACCCACTATCCATCTGTCACTATCGTTTCCAGGCCACGCTTTCTAGTCTGCGCCGAAAATGCGGGGCAGAGGATTCTTTACGACACATTATGCTTTAAAACTACACCCCCTACCCACTCCCTTTTCTTTTTTAGTTGCTCCTCAAGATACTTTTATTCCTCAGGGATTGCCTGCTCCGTATTGGGTGGTGTTCATTCGACAATTATATTTGTGTCACTTGTTAACAGTAATTCTTCGCTGCTTTTACTTTGCACCAAACTGTGAAGTTTAAACAAAATAGAGGGCGGTCGAAACTTGGAGAACTTGAGAACGACACTCCTGTGAGGCTTAGAGCGGCTGCCAACGTTCGGCTATCCCCCTGAGGCCACTGGGATCTTTCTTTTCAGGTATCCCTCCCGTACACACTAATAGTTCTATGTAATGTCGGACTAATACGTTACATTTAGACCCTTTAACACTTCTATTCCCGGTACAACTTTCTGAGGCCGTTCAGCAACATCGAAAACATGTTTGGGAGCCTCAATGGTGTGCATACATGCAAAATAGGTCGTACAGCATTTTTTTACCTTGAGTTCAATAAATACCGCTAAGATGTAATCCCTGACATTGATAACTTGCAAAACGATCCATTAGTTTTCCCCTCTGCGAAATGGTAGACGCAGTTGAAAGAAAGAAATGAAACAGCTTTCCCCTCCTCAACTCGCAATTAGAACTATCAGCCACGTGATCTGATCCTAATGTATACACCGTCAGTGTTTATCATAGTCATACGGAGGGTTGGCAAAGCATAGAGCATGGGCTGATCTTCAGATATAGTTTTAGTTGGGCTATAATGCCCGAGCCCTACTAAAGCAACAAACAGAAACAAACGACAGCGGCAAGCCTTAAACCAGAGTATTTCGCGATTTGACAGGCTTTGTAGAATACAGAAGGCTATGCTCAAACACGAGCATCACGCACACGAGGGTACCATTTCCAGGCTTGTAAACACTCGTGCTAACTTTACGAGCACTGAACAACTCAAAGCCGTATAAGCGTACCATCGCGAGCATGCTGCCTGTGTCTGAGGCCTGTCGCTGTCGTTTTTTTCTGTTTCTAGCTCTAGTGGGACTCGGGCCCATTATAATCTTTGAGTTGAACACGAGCCGTTACCCGAATGTTTGGCGATGCTGGTTGTCATGAACCAGAGCATTCGACTCGGGATCATGACAATCGGGTACATCATGGTGCCACGTGACTCAGTGCGAAGTTGTGATGTCATGTGACGTCACGGTATCAACAACGTTAATAGATATAGCGACGTCCTCAATTTGAATCGACTTAACGCGGTGAGTCACGTGACGTCACGGGGTCACGTGATGTGGCATTACTTTACAGCATGTCTTGACAGCACGACGTCACGTGACGATGTGACACATGCCTAATCATAGTGCCAATAAGAAAGTGCCGCAAAAACCCAGGATTTATTATACATTGCAATTCTGTATATGACGATTTGATCAATACGTAGAGGAATACACGTGCCACTTTTTTATTCCCAAATATAAAATTTGTAATACTAACAAAAAAAAATACCGTGAACCGTTTTGAACCGGTTACCGTTATATTTTTTTTCGGTTCAGTTCCGGTTCAGTTCCAAGATGGCGGCGAAGATTTCGGTTCGGTTCAGTTCCGGTTTGGCTAAAAATAACGGTTCTGTTCCGGTTTTCGGTTCGGTTCGGTTCCGGTTCGACACCCTGAGAATGACACTTCTATTACATCATCCAGCGATAACCGAAGGACCACTCTTTTAGAATTCAGGACACGGTATAAACATACCATTCGGAGTCGCGTCTCAGAGACAAATATACTCTTAAAACAAACATCTACGCCATCGCCTCTCCGCCATTTTGCTTCTTGATACACACTGAGCACGTTATTGGACACGAGGGCTGCAGCGTCAACTTCCGGCGAACTCGGCTCAGCTCGAATTCAAAAAGAGGCGCTGCGTCAGCGTTCGGCGAGGACTCGGATCCAATCAGAAGCATCGTGTATCCAATGGATGGATGGATTAATGTTAATGGCTATACCTTTTGTAACATGCGGTAGCTTGCGCCATTTAGCCTCCTCCCTAAGAAATGGCGACCGCCAATGTTGCTTGACGTATTCTTGAAAAGGGTCGTTTGTTGAAGTATTGAAATGAAAGTCATGCATTCTTCAAAAAGAAAAATAAGGAGGCTGAAGTAGGCTCGGGGTCGAGCTCACCCCAAGTTCACGCGCATCCCATTCCTCCTTGCAGTGTTTACAGGCAGGTGCTTCATCGACCTCCGACTTCACCGTGGCATCCGCGTTCTCGCTGAAATGGTCTTCTCTCCATGTTAAGGAACTCGTTCGATGTTTCTCCTGGGTGGAAGCAGGTTCCTAGAAAATAAACAATGAATAAATATGTTAAACACAAATAAAAAGGAAATAAAAGCAAGCAAGGCGTTTTTTTATACGTGCAAAAATGTCTTTGTCTTCTGTTATTTTTGTGTCTTATTGACACGTTTCCGTTACTGCGGTTCAGACTCGATCATCTAGTCATTTAAGGTTTTTTTTTATTTTCTTATTCTGTCGGCTGCCACAACGTTGCTGGGGCAAGAGAAAACGCCACTTCAATTTGTTTCGAAAGAACAAAAAAAAAAAAAAAAAGAAGTGAATCGTCATCATCCCACTGTATAAGCGGTTTATACGTTTGCACTACGCCAATATTTTGAGGTAACTGATCTAGAGGTATAATATGAATCCGGATGACTTTCTGATTCCGAAATGCTATCTCCGTTCTCCCACATTCACTCTAGTTAATTAAAAAAAGTTATTTTTTTCGCTACCGAAACCAAAACTTCGTTCACTCTAGTTTTTTCGCCAGTTTTCCTCACTACCCAAACTTAACGTCACCCGCGGGAAGCGAGGCGCGTGGCCGCCAATCGGATACGCTGGTGCCGGCTTTTCTCGCGTCTAAAGAAAACAGGGCCATTCGTTCTATCTGAAATTGATGATTGATTGGCAGTTCGAATGGAATGAAAGTTTATTAGTATTCTTTTAATTGTTATTATTATCATTACATAATTTTGTTATTATTACCATAACCTTTATTTGCACAATGCTTGACTTTGGCCTACAAGCTAAACTATAAAAGAAAAAAAAAACGAAGCAATTGGGATTTTGAGAAAACCGGGTTTGCAACTCGGTGCGCTCAAGCCGCGGCTCGCTAGTTTCATGAAATCGCTAGCGTAAGTCCGCTCTCCTTCTATGAGGAGCGGGCAGATACGCTGGTGAAGGAAGGTCGAAGAGTCATGCAGTCCACGTTTTGACGAATTTCCCAAGCACTACGGAGAGTGCTCGGAATGTGGGTACAGGTGCCCCACGTACGCTCGTATTTCCTAAAGGAACGTGGTATTCGGTTTGGATTTTATTTAGAAAAGTTGCTGTTGCCGATGCCAGCACGTGTAACTGCTCTTGTAGCATGCACATGCTCCTTGGTACTTCGGTAATTTGGCAAAGCATCTAAAGACCATTTTAGAATAGCGCTTCTTGTCGGTGCCAATTTCAGCGTTCGCGTGTGTGACGGGTGCTTTGCTCGCCTTCCGAATCGACGAACGTGCACGTGCTGGGCTGTGACCTAACACATGGAGACCGCAATTCTCGTGAGCACTAAAATGCAAAGAATGGAATGAACCGCATTCGTGTAGTCTAGACGGCAGGGTCATTGGTTCACGAAGATCGTGCTGAAACGATAAGTAAAATATCTTTGCAAACCCTACTGAAAAAAACCATTTGAAATTCAAACGGGTGGCGAACTGGTAAATCAAACGGGTGCAAACTTGTCGACCCGTTTGGATCAAACGTGATTATGGGATACGGGTAGCCGTTTGAAACGGTACCCGCTCGAAACGGTACCCATTTGATACAGGTGCCTGTTTGATACAGGTGCCTGTTTGATACAGGTGCCCGTTCGACCTTGCACGTGACCACACGTTTGAACGTGCCATTCGAATCGGGAAATTATGCGCTAGCCCTAAACGGGGATCGTCCGGTAGGTTATTTATCTTATACTTATTTAAGACGTTCCGAAACTCATGAACCTATTTATAACATGGAGGAAACCCGTAGAACAAATGTGGTCACGTAGGTGCTTGCAAATGGACAGGAAAACAGACACAAAAGATTGTTTTCAATCCTCCTCAAAGTTTATTACGTCCTCTGCAGACAGGTACAAATGTGCAAGCGATCTGTGAAATGTGAGAGGCACTCTAAGCTTTTACACAACTGAGAAGATAGCAAACCAAACAAGAACCGAGGTAATTCTAGAATATGAAGGTAGACTTTCGGGAAATTATTCGCCCGGCTGCCGCGAGAATAGTGGCTGCATAATGATATAGATAATCTGGTAGAGTACGAGTAGAAGAACGGTAAATCGTTGCCAAGAAGTAGGTTGCAGTGCACTTACCATAAAAGTAGCTGTAAGGGTTCTGGGAAAGACGGCTAGTTTCTCGATCGGCCGGGCGACGGTCGTCTTGTCCGGCGGCGTGTATGAGGCTCCGTCCCCGGTCGTTTTCTGTAGTTTTATTTTTCTAACGGAAGACCGCGTGAGCCTTTCTGCCGACGCGGCCCCCCTGGAGAGCGTCTTCCTGTGTCTCCCCATCGGAATGACCCCTCGGGAAGAGATGTTGTTTTTTTTATTTTGAATCTGGAGGCTTGCGCATTCTTGGGTTTCAACCTGGGGGTTCCGGACAGGCGCCGCTATGTCTGCAACGGGATGCACGGACGAAGTTACGGAGCTGTCGGCTGTAGTCCGTTGGCAAGTTAACGAATGTGTATCGACGCCCTTGCCAACTATTGGACGGTGGATATCACGTGGCTCCAGCAAAGCTTTGAAATGATTGGTTGATCCTCGCCCGAGAGTGAGCGGGTCAGCGTCTTCAAAAGTCCGTGACAGGGGAGAGAGAAGCCCCCTTTCTGGCTTGGACTTGGACTAATTTGGAGGACGGCGAATTTCCTTTGCTTTGTATATACTGTGTAAAATAGCTCGTCACGTCTAAATAAACAGTTTAGACGAAGTCCTCCCGCATCTGTCGCACTCTTCTGATCCCCCACCGAACAAGGCTCATCAAACGATTGGCCCCGCAAGACACCGCCGGGCAGTCATCATGTATTCAACCAAGAAACGAACCTTTACTGGCGCAGCTCGACAGCGATGAGCGAGCCTCGGTGACGATCGGAGGATCAAGAAAGTGACAGAGGTGGTCCAGCCGAAGCTTCCTGGCTGGCCAGGTGCTTGAACGGAGCGACCTACGGAATCCGTCGACAAGCAGCGCTGAGCGACAGGGAGCGGTACTGCCGAAGCGGCCTTCTCCGGTGGAAAGCGGCGCATGCGGCACATCGACGGAGAGAAAACCACCTGGGTCATCGGACAGCAACTTTGAACGACCGGTGGCTGAAACCAGGGACCTCGAGGGTCAGGAGTTCCGACGCCGAGGCCAAGGACGACTACTGAGGACGCAATATCCGGGCTCTGGGCGTCAAACTGCAGCAACGTTTGCGCCGGGTGAGTGGGATTTCTTCCGTCGGGTCGAGGTTGGCATGGCTGGTAGTTGGCGGGACTTATGGTTTTGACGCGTCAGATGCTGGCCGACATGGAGAACGGGTTAAATGGAGAGAACTCGCAGGGGACAGGAGCCTCTGGTCAGGGGCAGGAGGCGCCACAGGGTGCGACAGAAAAGGAATCGGAGGCGGTCACCATTCGAAGGCTCGAACTAGAATTTGAGTTGCGGAAAGCGCAACTTCAGATTGAGTCCGATGAGCGGATCGCGTTGCGCATGGCACAGCTAGGAAAAGAAAGTGGTCGACCTTCGTCCTCTGGGTCGGAAACAGACGACCAACGGCACGCAGGCTTAGACCCGGTTGCGCAATGTGCAAAAGTTTTGAAAGGGTACAGCCTGCCATGTGACGCGGACGTTCCTCTATGGTTTGATGAGGTGGAAAAATTGTTTACCACGTACCAGGTGCCGGATAGTGGTCGAGTACATTTGATTATGCCGGTGCTAACGGAGCGTGTCCGCTACCTGCTGCGCAGTCTGGGGCAAGACGATTGTTTAGATTACGAGTCGGTAAAACGGGCGGTGGTGAGCGAACTGAAACTCACGCCAGCTGAGTACCTAGACAGGTTCGACAGTGCAGCCAAAAGAAAAGATGAAACATGGGCTCAGTTCGCCTCCCGTGTCCGAACCTACTTCACGTATTACCTTCAGGTGAGAGGTGCGGACACGCAAGAGACAGTAACGGAGCTCATGGTTGCTGATCGGATTAAGGCGAGCCTGAGTACCGATGGTCTCGAGTATGTTCGCCTTCGCGAGGGAGAGACTTGGTTAAAACCGGTCGAGGTGGCGAGGGTGTTACAGACTTATGAGCAGGCAAAAGGGAAAGGGAGCGCCACAAAACAGGTGTGCGTTCCAACAGAACAGTCAAGGCCGGGGCGCTCGCCGGGGTTGAAAGGTCCCGTGAACTCGGGTCGAGCAGCTGTAAGCAGAGTGTCGAACCGAAATTTTTATCGGTTCGGTTCTGGTTCGGGTTCATGGCTTTCGGTTCAGTTCCGGTTCAGTTCCGGGGAGCAAAAAATAACGGTTCAAACCGGTTCGAACCGGTTTGAACCGCTAAATTGAGACAATATTTTTCGCGTTGCTCTGGTAATATACACTATTTACGCCGTGAAACGATTAACTATATAGTTTCTTCGATCGTCCGTGCAATTTACTTTTGCTTTTAGGTGCCAAAAATATTAAATTCAGTTATTTAATTTCGACGCAAGAGTAGAAAAAAGTCTACATTAACATACATAACGTCGTGTTCATACGACTCCACATCCCTTTGTTTGCCAGTAACATATATTTTACCTGAATCAAAATGTTTAAGTGCACGAGTAAAGAGTTGAGCTTGTTCGTACATACCTGTAAATAGATCAGCTTCAAATTCAGAACTATACTGTATTTTGTTGTGCTTTCTTCGTGTTTAAGTAAAATTCTAAAGTTAAAGCTTATCTATTTACACGGTATAAAATGTTGTCGCGAAGTGTGGTAGGTCGCCTAAAATACCCGTGATCGGTACAACTTTGTGTCGCAGTGTTAAAAATGAAATCGTGATTGTGTCCTTGAACTAAGGATTTAATACATCACATAAAATTATGAAATGAGCACCTCGGTGCTTATGCTAATTATGAAATAAGGTTTACGAAATACACTTCACAATATATATGTATATGATGACGACACAACTGAGCTAAAAGCAATGAAATTTTCAGAATGTAATAAAAGTTTTAGGATAATTCCTTTCAGTTTATTTTTTATAGAAGCACCGAGCGGCAATCCAAATGCTTGTTGTTCTAA